TTTTCGTTGACAGCTAGTTTTTATTTATAATGAATTTTGTATTATTTTTGTTAAAGTGTTCATGTATTTGTGACTTGCGTGAAATAATATATACTCTCTTCGTCTGAGAAAACTCTTCCCAATTTGATTTGGATTGAAGTTTAAGAAAGTAAAATAAAGTTGAAATATATGATTCTGGTTGAGTAAGAAAATTGTAAATGAATGTTAGTCACACAAAATTTTCTAAAAGAAGAAATGAGAAGAATTTTTGAGACATCCCAACAAAAACAAAGGAAAGAATTTTATGAGACTTAGAGAGTAATATATGTTCGCCCCCACTCACTTCAATTCCTGGATACGCCACTGGGGGGTCCAAGCTCTTCGAAACTCTAAGAGTTTTTCTGTCTCAACAAAAAGTATTTGTAGGATCTTCTTCTTTGTTTTCACTTACACACTCTCAAGTCTATTCATACACCGGTTGCCACTCGTACCACTCTCTCCCTCACAAATGGTGAACGCCTAGCTGATGCTACTGAATATCATAGTATGGTAGGTGCATTGCGGTATTTAACATTGACAAGACATGTTACTACTTATGCAATTAATTTAATTTAGTGTCTCAATTTATGCATGCCCCATGCACCACTCACATGCTTGCTAGGGGTGGGCAAACGGGTCTTGGAACCGCGGTCCGGTCCGGGTAATGGCGGTTCGGGTCCAAAACGGGTTGGTTCCATTTTTTGTTGCATGAAAACGGTCCGGGTAGGGTCGGGTAATTTTTTTTAAGAACCGGACTGGTTCCAAAATAATAAAATGCCGGGTACCCGGCCCGGCCCGTTATATATACATTGTATATTAATTTATTAATAGTTTTGTGATTATCGGTTTTGATTCCCTTTGTTAGAAGTAGGATTTTAAATTGTGTTGCAATAACATCCTTTCGTTTTCAAATTACTTCTTATATTTTACATAAATTTCTTACTACTTTTTATTGTTAGTGAATTATTCCTTTCTATGGAATTTAATTATTTGTTAAAAATGCTTTTCTAATATTTATTTTATAATATTGTTCTTAAAATTTATTCAAAAAAACATAATGTTCTTAAAATATATAAATTGTGCTTACCACTTCAATGTATGTGTCAACTATGGAACTTCTTAAATTGTTTGGAACTTGAATACATGAAGTTATGAAGTATTGGAATTGTCACTTGTGTTACATGTGCACCAGTATGTTGCTATTTTGAAACTTGCTAATGTACTATATTTTTTATTATTGAATTTTGGAACTTCGTGAGTTTTTACTACTTTTAAAACATGGGAATAGAAACTGTAAAACCAGGACCGGACCGACCCGTTTCAAACGGGCCGGGTAAGGTCCGGTTTCTATTTTGAGAATTGCAATACCCGGACCGAACCAGACCGTACAATGGAACCGGCGGTTCCATTTTATTTCGCATAACCCGCCCCGCCCCGTGCCTAGCCCTAATGCTTGCTGCCAAGCGCATATTTCGTTATTTACAAGGTACTATTGATCATGGATTATGGTTTCAGACTTCCGCACACCCCATATGTATTTTGGCCTACTCATATGTTGATTAGACAGGCTGTCCGGATAGCTCTCGTTCTACTACAGATTTTGCTATTTTCTTGGATCCTAATCTTGTGTTATGGAAGTCCAAGAAGCAGCCTACGATCTCTAAGTCTTCTACGGAGGCAGAATATTGAGTTGGTGCCTATACTGTCCAGGACACATTACACATCCGATCAGTCCTTTTTTAGCTCGGCTTTGCAGTTCATGTTCCCGTACAACTCTTTTGTGAGAATATCTTTGCCTCTTATGTGACAGCTAATCCAGTTCAGCATGCTCGAAGCAAGCATATTCACATTGATTATTAGGTTGTTCGTGAGAGAGTTGTCCATGGTGATCTGGTAGTCAAGTATGTTCCTACACATCTCCAGCTCGCGAATATTTTTACTAAAAGTTTATCTAGTCAGCAATTTCATTTTTTAGAAGACAACATGCGCGTTGTGTCTCCCGCACAGCTTGAGGGGGTGTTATAGTTTATATTAATTAGAAATCCTTGTGTATATATTTTGGCAACTCTTATTTATTATAAATTTACCTGTCAAGACTCCTCTTACAGTATCCTTTACCATTATTTCACAATTTATATCTACCAAGGAGGGTTGTGAGTCACAATAAGTTTTCTTAGTATTATAATAGTATGTATATACTCGTATGATATTATTATATTTAGAATAATATGATACGTAGTAATATTAATTCATATATATGATGCATATTATATTTGTATTAATGCTAAACTAAATTAAAGTTTATTATCTATTCAACAAATTGTTTTTAGAAAGTAAGTAAATCAATTGTGTAATTTAATGTCAACAAACATTTATATTTTGGATTCACTTTACATGATCTTAAAACTATTTAATATTATATTTAATATTTAATATCATTTGATATTTTACAAAATCGAGTACGAATTGTCTGATAAAGATAATTAAACATTACAAAATTAAGAAGTACCATTTCAGTTTGACGGATTCAAGTCACGGAGGCAAGTGACCAAATGTGGGTCAGGTTCGACAATTCTAGATTGCTATATAGACCTTGGGGGCGAGTACCTGGGTTGCTTTATTATGCGATTCTGGTGCATTGTTTAGCGGTTAATCTTTGCCGTTGTGACATTTCGGTTTGGCAAGGCTATAGAGGATTGAGTTAAGGGATGGATACTGTCATCAATGGTGTGAAGAATTTGTGTGAAGAATTTGTGGATACTGGTTTGGCGTCTATCATCAATGGTGTTACTGTTACATACAGTAGTTTTTAAGTGTGAAGAATTTGTGCTTCTTTTATTTAGTCAAACCAAGCATCCCAACCATGGTTGTTACGGCGTCGCCTAGGCGTCGCCTAGGCGCCGACTAGTCGTCCTGGCGATGGGGAAGGGGCGCCATGGTTACTCGACTCGCCTGGAGCTGCCAAGGCGTAACTCGGCGTTGACTAGGCATAACTTGGCGTCGACTAGGCGTAACTTGGAGACGCCCAACGCCTGTTTTGCCGCTTCGGTCCAAAATATTAGATTAGAGAAGATGTTGAGTTTTAAGATTTAGCGTCGGCCATAACCCTATGGCCATCAACGGTTCATCCCGTCGGTCGATTCACTGATGGAAGTCGCCACAGTACGTTGCTGCCTCAGGTCACTGTATAGCGCAGTTGCTCCACCTCCGTCTCTGTTTACTTCACTCATTCGGCGTCCTTGTTTTCAAAAGTCGCTAGTTGATCTATATTTTGTTGAGTTTTGTTTGGTTTGGCAGACAGCTGGAGTCCATATATTTTTAATGTATTATTACGCATTTTTCTACAAATATTTTTTTATCTGCACTTTTTATGTACAGTAAACTTCTACTCTTTCATTTATTTCATGTCCAGCTGGAATCCATGAACCAAATTCAATCTTTGTTACCAAATGTCTGCTATACTATTGCATATTATCTACTATTCGTACACAATTTGTTATTTTCTTTGTGAAAATTTATACTGGACATTTTTTCTAGAAACATAATCTATTGTTTCATATATGTTTGTTTAAAATAATCTGAAATATATTATTTAATTATATGTAAATTTAAATATTCCATATGGCACGACTTGTCGCCTAGTTGTCGCCTAGGCGGGCGCCTAGACGCCTAGGCGATATGGCGGTCGGTTGGCGCCGCGCCTCGCCTAGCCGCCGTGACAAGTATGATCCCAACCCAGCTGATTGCGAGGTTATCGTGCCTAGCGAGACGTCTCGAGTTCGAAACCCGCTAGGCACATAAAGGTTTGAAACTCAATGGGCTGAGTTTCAGCCCTAATTACTCCAGGCTCCCCCAGCCCCCCTCCCCCAAAACCCGCCTAGAGTAATAAAAAACAATTATTGTTATTATAATCATCTTCATCATTACAAGGAGTAATTATAATTATAGAAATAAATTATAATTATAATTATAATTACTCCTTGTAATACAAGGAGTATTTATTTCTATTTATAATTATAATTATAAATTATAATTACAATTATAATTACTCCTTGTAACTAATTTCTATTTACGAATAGTAATTATAATTATAATTACTCCTTGTAATATTATAATTATAATACGGAGTATATTTATTATAATTAAAATAATTATTATAATTATAATAATAATTATAATTAAATTAATCATAATTATAATTAAATTATGGAAATAATCCAATCAGATCAGATTAGAAAGATTCAAATCAAATTTGAAGGATTCAGATCAGATCAGAAACATTCAGATAAGATCAAATCATAAAAATTAAGATCAGATCAGAAAAATTCAGATCAAACTTAAAGAATTTAAATCAGAAACATTCAGATCAGGAAAAAAGAACAGCTTTTAAATGTGTAAAGCTTGAGGTATCACATACATAGAGAGTATTAACTATTAAACTTTCTTTGTAAGCGATGGAGGATACATGTCCCGCTAAAATCTCATCCTGAAGCATTGTAGGATAATCATCTATCTATTCAAGTCCTTGATTTAGCGGTTTTAGATAGTGCTCGTCTAAATCCGCATTACAAGCCATTGAGGATAATCATCTATTGACTATTAAAATAGTAAAAGGTGAAGCACACCCTCTAGGATTCCGATCAAATTTGCTGAAGATATCTCCCACATTTGCCACACTCATTACTTAAGTCAAATTCACCACAAATTGAAGCTCTTGCCGGTTCTCATCCGCCGATAATAGCTCGTTGAAATTATGTCCATGGAAGACTTGCTTCTGTCTTCATTTCATAAATGGCATAAAATAAATTTGCCTTCAATGCTCTACTAAATACAACCTTGATTACTATATTCCACACTGTTGTGCGGCGATCTGGTGCAAGGCCGGGCCGATCATATGTTGTGCGGGGCCTAGGCCCACAATGAAAAAATATTATTAAAAGAGCCCAAAATCCAATTCATCATTCGAAACTCGGAAGGCCCATTACCAACCTAACCAACGTAGGCTGCTACCAATGGATGACAATTTGGGCCTGAAAACACCAGCCACCGGCCGCCGCCGCTACCGCTGACCACGCCCTGTGTCGGCGATCTGCTACGCTCTTCTTTCACACCGACGGAGGCAAGGGACAAGCTTAGTCAGCCTACGCCGCACGTCAGCCCGTCTACCGCACAGCCGCAGAGTTTCCGCCGCACTGCTCAACCAGGTAAAACGCCGCTTAGACTAGTTAAGCTTTATGTTTAAAATTTCTTCTTCTGCTTCTTCAACTCTTCCAGACTCATGTATGCATCTATCTGAAATAAAGAAATTGTTAAGTCCAATTCATGTTGGCTGACTCCAGTTTGGGCTGGGAAATTGGTTTCCCCAAACTACATTTCTATATATAATATGAGCATTATTCTGTGATGCAATCCAAAAATGGGAGTTCTGTTTCAATTGATTGAATTTTGTCTCTTCAATTACATCACATCTCTGATATTTTCTATAACAACGTAGTTCACCGAAGCAACACATACTCAATGGCGGATTCATCAGAAGGAGAGGAAGAAGGAAAGATGACAGGAGGTAACCGCCAGTTGTTGGTTGATGATGACCTCCGTGAGATGGATAAAAAAGCTGCCTGGAGTGTCAGCTCATCCAAAACAGGAAACGGCGTTGCTTTCCTCCGAGATGATAACCTTGATACTTTTTGGCAGTTAGTAAATTTTCAATTTATTTCCTCCTTCAGCAAATGTGTGCAATTCAATTATTTTTTAACTACTTCTCATCATGTATGTGTCCTGTTTCAAATTTAGGTCTGATGGTACACAACCGCATCTGATAAATATACAGTTCCAGAAGAAAGTGAAGCTCCAAGTTTGTGTCTTACACTCTTAATGTCTTATTACTTATTGATATATCTATGAAGTATATTTTTATACTTTTTTAGAAAATTAGTTGCATTCACATGTTTTGGCTATGCCTTTTTTCTAGTTGGTAGTTCTATATGTTGATTACAAACTTGATGAGAGCTATACCCCTAGTAAAATCTCGATTCGAGCTGGTGATGGCTTCCACAACTTGAAGGTACCAAAGTATCTAGATGCATAGAGAACACAAACATGTACACACACTTTTTTAAATGTGGGCATGCTGATACAATTGAGAGCTTATAATATTGAAAATGTTTTGATGTAATCTCTCTTCATTTGGATGTTCTTCCTGAGTTGGTTTTTTTTATTTTTTATTTTCCATTATAGGAGATAAAATCAGTGGATTTTGTCAAGCCCACTGGCTGGGTGTATATATCATTGTCTGGGAATGATCCTCGGTGAGCAGTAGAAGCTTTTAAATGATTGAATCACACTTGCAGTAGAGCACGCACAGACACATTTACACTATAGAAAATGATTAGTGGAACCATCAGAATATATGAAGGAAGAACACCACCTTGGCTACTATAGCTGCTTTGGTTTTAATAAAATGCTTATTATGTCACAGTTTTTACTTGGCAGAAATGTTTGTTGAACCTTATTTCATTTACAACTAGTTTTTTTGTATGTGTAGTGAAACCTTTGTGAATGCATTTATGTTGCAAGTGGCAATTTTGTCTAACCATCTAAATGGGAGGGACACACATATCCGTCAGATCAAAGTCTATGGACCTCGACCGTGCGTAAATTTATTTTAAGCGTTTGTCCACCTGTCATCTTAAATTACAAAGTTAACGCTGCCCATTCATGAAGAAAAGTATATATCTCTATTAACTTATGCTTGTTTGGCAGGAATCCCGTTCCCCTTCAACCATTCCAGTTCACCTCAAAGGAGTTCATTACTTACTCCATAGTGAGGTAAAGTGCGAGCTACTGTGGTCTCTGCCATCAATATGTGGAAAAGAGCCACATGTTTTAAATAGTATGGAATGCAACAAATGTTTATAAAGGACGACGTGATGCTGATTTATGATGGAAAAACTTGTCATATGTCTGTTTTGTTAATATGCACTTGTTAAATTTGTAGCCATCCCTCCCTTAAATCCCGAAGTGTGGTCGCTGGTGTGTCCCAACTCCCAACACCGTACTTATAATCAAATACTGGCGGTGGGAAAATCCCGAAGTGTGGTCACAGTTGTGTCTCAACACCGTACTTATAATCAAATACTGGCGGTGGGCTTTGATGTAGGAGTTTGAGATGTGAAAATCAGTGGCCGAACAGAAGGGTTTGTCTTAATATCTTCAGAAGATAGGTTGCCACAATTAGGCCACTTTTTGAGCTTTGGCCTTTTGTCATATTATTGCACAATATAATTTCATGCTCTTAAAAATATCCCCTAAGTTGGGACGTTGAGTATTTGCAAGTCTCGGACCAGGTCGGGTAGACCAATCGATCCAGTCATGGGCCAAGTCTAGGACAATATTGTTTCTGCGTTCTGTCCAAACGTTGGAGGTTGGACCTGGCCTGATTTTGGCTGGTCCTAGTCTAAAAAATTCGCACTAGTGACCGGGTAGTGAAGCCCGAGGGGGAGGGGCTGGTCTTGGACTGTGATCAGAAATCAGTCCCGGATCGCTCCCAAACGGCACTGGGCCCAGTTCCATGATGGGCGGACCCCCCCACCCTCAGTCATCACTAGTGATGAACATTGACATACTAAAATGATGAATATCTTTATCTATCTTTTACGGCCTGTTTGGATGAAGCGTTGAAAAGTGTTGGCTAGGGCCCTGAATGAATATAAATTCTAAGCTTTCGAAATACTCTTGCTTCTCAATAGCTTCTCCCTAGACCTGATATGCACACATATACATAATATACGACGAATCGAAGATCAGTTGATAACATGAATCTCCAATTCCTTCAAATGAATCTGCCAATTCCCAAATGGGTACATGAATTCATAAAACCAATTTTGTGTTTCTATCAAGTTTATTCCTATACCCACTTCTTGAATTTATCAACCAGGCACACCCCTTCCGTGCGTGCGTTGAATTGAACTGACAGAGTTAACAAACTTCATCGTTTAATTGGGGACTTATTGAAATCAGGTAGGGAAACCATAAGCCAAGGCAACTAATTATACAAAATCAGGGCAATCCAACTAAATTAAACAAGAACTACTGTAGACAGAGTGAGTAATTCAGTGACAACAAGAAAGAAGTTGAGTGCAAGTCCAATCATAGCGAATGATGAGGGCTACGAATGATTGGGATTTGGTCGATGAACCATTTTCAGGGAGGGGTGGAGATAGACGACACTATGAGGGGCAAGATTTGTCCACCACTCCAAAACACTCCAATTTGGGGTGTTAAAAAAATCACTTATTGAGGTGTTAGGATGGTTTCAAGCACTTTCAAACACTAACGCTTCATGTTTAAAAAAAATAATCTCCCAAACAAAGGTTAAAACCAGCACCCCTTAACACTTCTATTACTAACATATCTTAACACTCAATCCAAACAGACCGTTAGACATATTTTTATCCATATATAAGAATAGTCGTCTTTTGGACTTTAACTTCAATATAGTATGTAGTAATATGTAGTGTTGGGCGCGGTCTAAGATGGCCAATAAATTACCCATGAGGTTTCTACATAAATATGATACAACAAATAGTCATGTATATACTACAATAGTTAAAGTAGTAATTATCTTAAATAGGACTACATTGAAACATAACTGCACAAATAGGAGTAAAACCCAAATCTTTCACAAATAGGAATAAACATTAATTTTCTACCCTTAATACCCCTAATCTAATTAATTAATTAATTATCCCCTAGTTCCCTTGAGTAACCTGGGCAATCCAGCAACTGGCAGAAAATTTAGCTGAATTCCAGCGGCGGCAGGCAGGGCAGCTAGGAGATGGCCCGTGGTCGGAGATTGGCGGTGGTGGCTGGCAGTCGGTGGTGGCCGGCAGTTGGTGGCGGCGGCTGGGCAAGCCGGTCCGAAAAGCGGCGGGGGTATATTTGTCCAAACACACATGATTAGTCCTATTTAGAGAATTTAGAACAGTGTAGTCCTGTTTTTTTATTTTTACGCATGTTTTACTCCTATTCAGGTGAAAGTTAATACTCCCTCCGTCCCCTTTTAAATATCCCCTTTTACCATATTGGGATGTTCCTATTTAATTGTCTCATACCTTATTTGGTAAAGTTTGTGTGGCTCAAAATCATTCTTACTTTATTCTTACTTTTTCAATTAATAACAACCACACAAACCCACTTTTCTTAAAACTCGTGTCACCCTCTTCTGGGATATTTAAAAGGGACGGAGGGAGTAGTGATTAATGAATTTTTAAGCTTTAAAATTCTTTCAATATACAACATATATATAAAAAAATGGGTAGAAGGAATGGATAATATAACTTATATAAACACACATTTAGTTATTTTTGGGACTACCAGTATAATATTGTTGGTCCGAACAAAAGATTTATTAAAATAAGAAAAATATAAAAATTCGTATTACGGGTCCGTTACTTTTTCGATTCTCAAAATCTAGTTATGATCTCGTACTTGTTTCAAAGGACATAGTTTCAGTGTGGAACTCCGGATAAAAATCTATAAACCCATTTACATACCTGATATTCACTTCGGTACTATTACGAGTCGGTTCAAAACGGGTCCAATTCGATTGTTATGCCCACCCCTAGTAATATCTAAGGAAAACTCCCTTTTATTCAAACAAATGCTTCTATTTAAATTGAAGCAATTAAAGCTAAAACTCTAAGATAGAGGGAGATGCTTTTCTCACATTTTCATTTTTGGGATATTTTTATTATATGTATCTCTTTTCATTTTTAGTAAGTTTTTTCAATCAAAATACATTTATACCCTTACTTTTATTACTCTTATATTTTTTACTTTTTACAAACTACTCTGTATTTTCAAACTTTTTCATTACTTTCCTCTCACTAATATATTTATATTGCCTTTCTTACTTTTTCATTTACTCTACACCCTCTATACTACTCCAATTTTCTTCTAAAAACCACAAAACCTAAGGAGACAATTAATAAAGAACCAAGGGAGTATAAGTTTTACTTTATCATAATCAATTTTTTCACACCGCTAACTTTTATGATTAATCATTTTCATATAATCAAAATAAACCACTTCTGCAAAGCAGAAGCAAACTAAAGGATTGCACAGTTTTGAAACAGACACACGTATGTAATTTGATTCACATGCTAGTGCTTTTGAGGTGAAACACAATAACTAAATATTCAAAAGGAGCCTGGTCCTGGAGAGCTGGAAAGATCCAGTTGCCACACTGCTTCCTTAATTTCTTCCATATCTAGTGCCTTAGTTAAGAAAGCATTGTCATGAAGTGTTACTAGTTGAGGAAAATATTCAAAAAGAGCCTCGGTATGGATGAACTTCTTCCTCTTGATAGCTTCTGAAGCAATGGACTGTTGATCAAACTCATCAAAGGACCAGACCCCATTCTTGGTTTTAATGGTAAATAGTTTCTGCCTTCTGCTTCTCTCTTTTACTGAGTTATGAAAGAATGTTGTATTAGCATCACCTTCTTTCAACCCTTTGATATTGGTCTTCTACTTCCAATAGACGTCCTCTTATTTAAGCTGGAATAGTTGTTCAGCTTGTTTTCTAGAACAAGGGATCTAGCTCCATCAGTATCCTGAGTCTCCATATTTATCTCAGCTGTTAAAACCTCCACCTCAGCCTATGTTGTCAAATAAATTTCCAAAAACCGACTTATTCCACTCTTATATCATTTTCAGGAACATAAGTTTGAGAATCAACCGTGCATGCCACCACCAAAATTATGAGCTTTCCAACACTTTGTAATTGTGTATAGGAAAGAGCTATTGTGAGTGCAAAAGGGCAGCAGATGCAACCAAAGAGCAAACATATAAAGAAATCCAGCACCAAGCTGTCCAATATTCACAACAATAGTATACTTGCAAAGTTAGCTCACTCGAACATTAACACCCAACAGAAATCACCAACATATCAAAGAACACATATAATAAGAAGAACATCAAATCAAGGGGAGACACAATGATTTATGTGGAAACCCCTTGAGGGGAAAAGCAAACAATGAGGAGAGTCACAGAAACCTTTATGTCTCTCCCTAAACATAGCTCTCTTACAAAAACCCACGAGCTGAAAGCCTCTGTCCTTTTATATTAGTGTGTGGGGGAGAGGGTCAAATTAGCCATTTTACGTAAAGCCCCCTCAACTTCCTAAGTCCTAACGTAGTGCAAACCACTCCTATTTCATCCTACAACATGTCTAGACAAAGTTTTACATGATAAATGAGCCAATATGGCTTCCAAAAGGTGAAATTAAGAGCTGCAGTTCACAGATATCGGACAATCACATGTCCTGGAAGCGATATTAGGAAAGACCTCTATTTCCAGCACTACAGCATCTCAATATAATGGGGCAATGATCAGAAGTTTTACGTATACTACAAAAGTTCTCCAAAAATATCCATAGTTGATTATATATGGTATGATCTTTACTCAATCTTTTTATGGAGCTTTGTACTTTTCGATTATTTAATTGAATTTGAAAAAGTATTTCATCCAAAGTAATATCCATTCCTTAGCTGATCATAAAACTTTCTGGTTATTTACTCGCGATCTGTGCAGAAGCCTTTTCAAAGTTATTAACTCGGGCAGCCAGTGAGGGATGCTTATACATGGAGTTACAGCCCCTCACACATCTAATCTTTTCTTTGGAAATGACAATATCCTGTTTGCTATGGAAATTGTATATGAGGTCTCCATCCCAGCCAATATCATTAATAAACATGAGAAGGCTTCTGGGCAGAAAATCAACCTTCACAAATCCCAGATATCTTTTAGCAAAAATGTGTCTTGCGATAAAAGATTGATATTAGGAATTCACTCCAAGTAGATGAAGTGGAGAAACATGAGAAATATTTGGACCTCCCCACTATAATTGGTAGACATGAGAAGGTCGTTTTCTCCCAACTTATAGAAAGAATCTGGAGAAAAATTCAATGTTGGAGAGAAATTCTACTCCCCGGCCAGGTAAAGAAATTATCTTCAAATCCATTTTCCAAGCAATCCCGACATATATACGATAAGAATTTTAGAATTGCATATGGTGTTATTGATGAAATCCATACAATGTTGGCTAAATTTTGGTGGGGAGCAAGTGAGGACCATAGAAAGTTGCATTGGCTGTCCCGGGGAACATTATGCAAACCCAAGAGTAAAGGTGGAATAGGCATAAAATATCTAAGAGTTTTCAATCAACCATTGTTAGCCAAGCAAGGTTGGCGGTTCCGCATGATACTTAATCCAATTGTTGCATATATTTTAAAATAGAAATGTTTTAAAAAAATGTAGATTTTGTGGGTGCAGCAAGGGGCTATGATCCTACTAGCTAGTAGGGTAGTAGCTACACATGGAGGAACATCAGGGGGCAAAGCTCTGACTACTAGAGGGCTTAATGTGGTAAGTACGTAATGGGTCCAGCATCAAAGCGTGGGAGGCTAAATGGATACCTGGATATACATCTCTTAGAATGCCTAATGTGTGTCGATCTGAACATGAATGCAGATTTACATGCGTAACCTTATTGATTTGGAGAAGAAGACGTTGAAATAAGATATGTTAATGACCAGTTTTTCTTCAAAGGAGCTAAAGAAGATAAATTGCATTCCGCTAAATTCAAGGCTCCCACAAGACTCTCGCCACTGGTGACCGACTAAAATAACAGTGAGGTCAGCATACTAGTTTTTAAAAAACCAGAATCATTTGTATGCATCAGTTCTCAGAAGTGGAATAAACCATCTAGTCGTTTCGTGAAAGTAAAGTGTGGTGCAGCTATGTTTAAAGGAGGAGGAGTGGGACACAGAGCTATCATCCGAGATGAAATAGATGTGGACTCGGAGGCGGGATGGCAGAATATGCGTTGCGAATAGCACACCATGCGGGGCGAGAAAAAATATACTTCAAAGTACCACATTACGAAAGCCTCTTCATGAAAAGAAAATCATACATAAGGAATTTATCTGGATAATATTTTCACGTTTGCTCTTAATAATTTGACATATCACATTATCACGATGCTACCAGGATGCTAAAAATAATATAATCCCACATAACGTTTATTCTTCTAGATCCTCCACTGGACAGCTGAACCGAATAACCCGGATAACAGCAATCCGGAGTAGCTGCACCAAAAGTCCAAAATAACAGAACATTATCAGTTTTGTATATTTCCAGGATCGACAATAACTTAACAAATAACCATATAATTATATCAATAAAACTTCGTCCTAATAATTAGTTTTAAGACAGATAACGTCAACACGAAATTGAATTGTGCATTCCTTTGAAGTTTTGTGACATAGAGAGGGAGGTATGGAAATTACATGGATCGTCGGTTGTCAAATGACCAATTGTTGTATTGCACACGTGACTCAACGCGTAAATTAGGTCAAGAACAAAAGATGCATGTTGTGTTAAGGTGTTTGGTTGATAGCATGGTCCGCCCGGGTGAATTTGACTACAACCGTAATCTCCACAATTAGTATCTATAAATTCTTGCAACGCTTTGGGTGGGGCAGTTGGTTTTGCCAAACAATATTTCTTTACCTCCTCCTGCAACATTAAAAAAAACACGGTATAATGTATTTATTTTATTACAACTAATAAACACAAATTGTGAATCTGTCGCAATAATAATTTTAGGTAAATTGGATTGAGGGTGCTGCGTACGCTATAAGATGGTGTTGCCAAAAGCACAGCCAGAAGAACACTTCGGAGAAAGTGAGAACAGAAGAGATGGCTCCTCATCATGGTGTACGGACTAGGGAATTGGGATTGTACGTGAATCACACTGCTGCGAATTGAACCGTACTAAATAATACCGTAAGAATTTGTAAGATTTCGACTTTAAACAAACAAATAATACCGTACGTACTAAATCACTCACTTGTACTCCGTACTCCATAGTACATGGAACTCAATCATAGGAGAGTAGTAGGTAGCACACCAAACTCCTTGTTTGACAAAATATTGCTTTTTAAATTAAAATAGGTCTTTATATTTCCTTAAATTTTGTTTAAATTTATTTTCCAAAATTACTATCTTTATTTTAAAGTATACAAAAAATCTTGATAGAATCATGATACAAATTCCAACTAAAATCGAACAATTACTATATAAATATTTGTAACACATACTAATGCTTTTATGATTTTTTTACAATTTCCTTTTACAATGGGTGATGAATTTGAATTCCCGTTTACATATTAATCACTTCAATTGTCCCACTAATTATATTTCAGTTTTTTTTTTATATGTTTCATTGAGTTCGTCGCATACAATTAGTGATATTTAGGTGGTCATATACACTTTTTCATTCATCTATTTTATTGAATATTTTCTTTATTCTATTACTCTCTCTGTCCCCTTTTAAATGTCTCGTTTTACCATATTGAGATGTCCCTATTTAATTGTCTCATATCTTATTTGGTAAAGTTTGTGTGACTCAAAATCATTCTTACTTTATTCTTACTTTATTCTTACTTTATCAATTAATATCAATCACACAAACTCACTTTTCTTAAAACTCGTGTCACCCTCTTCCGGGACATTTAAAAGAGGACGGAGGGAGTATCATATAAGTATTATTGACACTATTCAGAGTGTTTTTAATTAGAGTGATTTCGATCCCAGCCCGCCCAGACTAGAAATAAAGAGACTATACCAGATCAGATTTTGAAGGTTTTATAACACATAGAATAGAATGATATCTAACAAATCAGAAGAGTTTAGATCAAACTAAGTTAGACCGAACTTAAACATACCAAACCAAATCAATTCGTACCCGATCAGATTGAACTAGAAAATTTTAATCTAACTAAAAACATCCGTAGTATAATTATAAATTAATCTCTCCTAATAAATGTATTTCTATCATATTAATATGTATATATACTTACCGAACTGTGTTTGCATAAGGGCCGAATAAGTTTAAACATGAAGGCTTCTCATTCACTCCAGCTCTGCAGCTCACAACATGCTTGTTGGAAACATGGTGTCGTTTCACGTAGATTTCACTCTCAGATCCGTTTTCACTATAAGCTCTGTTTTTGTATGAAAGCGTATTATCGGTGGATAACATAAAGGAAATTGAATTCTGGCAGTTTCAAATGAAGTAGGGAGCAGGAATAAGCAGTCTTGAATCTCTTTTTTGCTATGACAAGTCTGTGCCTGAGGAAGTTATAGAGAAACCTCTTAGGCTGTCTTTGATTGAGAAAAATATCGGAAATAAACCTTGTGGTGGTTGTAAAGCAATGATATACTGCTATGCAAAACGTGCTCTGGTTCAGGCTTATATGTCGACTCTATTATGGAATGTCAAGGAATTATTGTTAAAGTTCGGTGCTTAGGTGAATTTTTCTTTCACCACTTCTTCCATATTTTTTTACGATAGTGGAAAGAATGAAAGATCGCAAAAATATTTAAATGGGATGCTTGTGTGTGTGAATAAGTATGCTACAAAAAAAACTTCAAATTTCAATTATATCTTTTTATAAATTAATAACTTTGTGATCATGTTTAAACTTATATAGCGTAATGGATATTTTCCAAAGCGTTGGAAAATTCTTGCAACGCTTTTGATCACGCTTTGCAATTAATGGATCACGTTGGAAAATAGCGTAATGGATATTAATAGCTTTTTTCTTGCCCCACAATTAGTATCTATAAATTCTTGCAACGCTTTTGATCACGCTTTGACTACAACCGTAATCTCCACAATTAGTATCTATAAATTCTTGCTACGTATATTGTACAACCGGCTGTACGGTGAGCACCGTACAGCCGGCCCAGAAACAGGCCCAAGAGAAAAATAGCAAAATAATTCGATGGCATTTTTGTAATAATTTGAAAATCACGGTTTCTACTAAATGAGCATTAGTGTACTGTTAATGAGCAATAGTCCAATTTTAATGAGTATTAAGCGTCTAATAATGAGCATCGTGTTATGACAAAAAAACTGATATCACAACTAAAAAACGGTGGCATTTTCGTAATTTCGATGAAGATCGTGGTTTTTGTTAGATGGGCATTAATACACTTTTAATGAGTATCAGACGTATTCTATTGAGTATTAAGCGTCTAACAATGAACATCGTGATCTCTTCTTCATATCTTGTAATTGGCTTTGTTTTTCTTATTTTTTCTTTTATAAAAACTTATCAAATTATATCATCTATAATGAACTTTTATAAACTTCAATATGCAAATTTAATGTAACATGGTAATTTTGATGTATGCATTGATATGTCATTTTAAAAATGAGCATAATATCAGTATCAAATGAGCATATACAACTTTGTTAGTTGGACGTCACGATACTTTCATTGAGCATCAAACCTCCTATATTGAGATGAAAATAACGCTTTATGTTAAATGATCATTAATGAACTTTTAATTAGCACTAGACCTATTTTGTTGAGTATTAGGAGTCTAATATTGAGCATCACAATCTCTGCTTCATATCTTCTAATTCATCTTCTTTTAACACTTTTTCTTTTATAGAAATGTATTAAATTATATCTACAATCAATCCCTATGAAGTTCGATATGTGAATCTAATGTAATACTCCGTATGATACTTTTGAAATATGCATTGATATGACATTTTAAAAATGAGCATAACATCAGTATCGATTGAGCATATGTAGCTTACAATATAATTATTAATATGAAAATAATAAGGGTTTTTAGTTGAGCATCAAGACATTTTCTCATTGAGCATTAAACCTCCTCTACTGAGTATTAAAAGCGTGAAATTGAGTACTGATTGAGTGTAAGGGTTCGAAACTCAATAGAATGAGTTTCAACCCTGATTACTCCAGGCCCATGGCCCCCCTCCCCCTGACCCCCCTGAAGTAAAAAAAAAAAGAGTACCGATTGAGCATTCGTAAAGTATAAAATGAGCATTAGTAGGAAAATCATAAGTTTTTTTAGTTGAGCGAGTATGAAGACGTTTTTATTGAGCATCAAATCTCCTCTATTACGTATTAAAAAAATGCAATTGAATATTGTGGTCCGTGCTCTCATATATGTAATTAAATCCTCCTTGAATCAAATGTAATATGCTACTTTTGAAATATGCATTGATATAACATTTTAATATGAGCATCACATCAGTATCAAATGAGCATACATATAATGCAGAAATAAAACAAAATCTATTAGAAGGTTGATTGGAAAAAGAAGAAAAAACAAACTCAAAAATTAATCATACTTTAGATTATAAATTTGCATAATAATTGAATAAAAAATAAAGCATGGCAAAGAAAAACATAAAGAAAAGAAAGAACTAAAAACAGAAAACAACAAAAGAAATTAAACTGATAATGAACGAACAAGTGAAAAGCAAGAAATGAAAAGCAACGACAAAAAAGAGAAAACAAAAAAACAAGAAAGATAAAGCCGTAGCAGCAAGAAAAACGGAAAACGGATGGAAAAATAACGGAACAGTGGCGGTGGAGAAAGAAAAACAAAAGCAGCCATCAATCTAATCTTTACCCTATAAGTTGAATTTAATTACAAAAAAACCCGGTTGTACCATGCTCTAGGTACAGCCGGTTGTACCATATATATTACCGAGGACCCCACCTCTTAAAACTCAATCAACACTATATTGATGATTGCACGTGTGAACAACATTTAAGATGTTTTTAGTTGTACTGATTTCGCTCTTGATAGACTTAAATAAAAGAAAAATAATTAAAATACCCCAAACTTTGATGGGGTGTGAGATAAACACCGAAAGTTTCATATGAAATTTAAATATCCCAAATTTTATATAAAATTTATTTTAACACCATAATCATGTATTATTTCTTTCAAAAATGTAAATTTATGGCATTTTAATTATTTCCCCTTAAACAAATCATACCAGACAACTCTTAAATAATACTACGTAGTAAAATAAATGTTAATACAAAATAACACGATTTTTTATAGTTTAGTGACTAAAATTATAACTTTAGTGGTAATGAACTAATGACAATGTTGAAATTTCCATTCTAGTGACTATAGTGATATACTTGTAGCGACATAAGTCACATTTTAGGCTTTTTCCATGAATATTACTAAATTTAACTCAATAGGCAAAAAGATGACTTATTTTATTTTATTTTTAAAAATTGACATATTCAGTTATTAGTTCACGCTTACTCATCATCTATTGGTGACTTATCACAGTGAAATACACTATAGTGACTCTTGTCCAATTAATCGTACACAATTATTAGTTACGAGTATATTTTCCTCCACATAACTAGTCACATTTTGTCCGATGAAACTCTGTTAGTAATATAAATGTCATTTTTTCACATTTTTATCCATAGTAATATTTAAGAAAAAACCTATTGAATAAACGTCTAATAAAAAAGTACAATAACAACATGCAAACTTTAGTCCCAAAAAATTTTGGGGTCAGCTAACATGAATCAATACATTCGTAGACAAAAGGAAAAACAAAGATAAGAAAGATAAAACAAAATATATGATTAAAAAAATAGAGATAACATATGTATATAAATGTATCAAAAACAATATATGTATCATATGGAATATCATAAAAAATCATTCAATTCAATATATTTTTGTTAAAATTGGAGAACAAATGAAAACTGTAAAACATTTTATAAAAGAATTGTTCAAATCACATGGAATTTAAATTTGCTCAATTTTGAATCATCAAACAAAATTACTTCTCTAGAAGTGGCAGCGTAATGGGGTTTGTTCGTAATTTTAAAGGATTATTAATTATACGGTCCAATTAATGGAAGCTTTAGTTAAATAAGTGAAGGGGCAAAATGGTCTAGCTAAGGTTACATATAGGGATAGCAATGGGGCAGGGTTGGGGCGGGGGTTCACTCCCCCATCCCCCGCCCCGTGTCTAAAAAATCGCCCCCACCCCCGCCCCATCCCCTACTACTATTCGACCCGCCTCATCCCCCGCCCCGACCCGCTAGACCCACGGGTACCCAACGGGGGAAGTACTCGTCAAAAATTAACATCATTTTAGACTCTGACAATTTTTCAAAAATTAAACAACACTTCTAGTAGCCAAAAAAACTTTTACTTTTTAAGTGTCAATGTAATCTTACATCCCATTTCAAATCTAGAACACATTATACGCGTTCTAATTTAGTCATTTTTATCAAACTCTAAATTAGCGTTGATTAGCTCTATAATATTTTCTTAAACCCCGCATTCAATCAATCATGGTCATTTGACGGCATCTAGGATGACATATGATCACCAAACTTTAAGAGCCCTAACTATAATCATAAAGATGACATTCAAAAGAAAAGAATTAATGCATTGTAATAGTAAAGGAAAAAAACTTTCACACCGTGTCTGAGGCATTTAAGCTAATATCACTTTATAACTTTCTCAAATTCATTTTACTTTATCCCTAAAAAAATCATTTTACTTTATGATTTTGGTAAGCAATTTTACAAGATAGCTTAGTTATTAAACAAGAATTAGATAGACCCATTAGGCACAATCCATTAGATAGGAAACCACTAAACCCTCCGAGCCACCATGCTATTTTAATTACTTCGTATTTTAATTCACCAGGCTATTATTATTAGTATTATTATTGAGATTATTATTATTATTTATTACGGTGGACAGGGCGGGGACGGTGCGGGGGGTGCATAACCCATCACCCGCCCCATATTTATGCGGGGAGAAAATATCTCCCCCACCCCACCACTCGCCCCAACTCCCCCCCCCCCCCACGGGGCGGTTCCCCCCCCCCCCCCCGCCCCCATTGCCATCCTTAGTTACATATAACAATATTGAGGGTGCGCCTAGCAACACCCAAATAATAAGCTTTGTTAGTTGAGCATCAACACATTTTCATTGAACATCAAACCCTCTCTATTGAATATCAGAAGAATTCAATTAAGTATCATGATCTCTGCTCGCATGTATATAATCTAACTCTTATTGCGAATCTAATATGATACGTTTAAAATATGCATTAATAAAACATGGACTAATTTGATCATTTTTGTATCCTTCTTTGAACAAGTATTCACTGAGAAGATTATACCACATTCGCCCAGATTGTTTTTATCCATACAATAACTTTTGTAATTTTATGGAAAACATGTCTCAAGGTTTTGAGCTATAAGCTTCGGGCATTTTAAATCTTATAGGAACTTTCATATAAATGTTTGCGTCGAGTGAACTATATAAATATGCAGTTACTACATCCGTTAGGCACACTTGTAGCCTTTCAAAAAAAGACATACCAATGAGAAACCTTAATGTAGTGGCATCAACTACTAAA